TCCTTGACAGTCTGCCATGACAGAGACGCATGGAGCTGTTGTACTGGGGTTTTGAAGTCACAGTGTAGAACCAGACGAGCTGCTTTGTTTTGCATGACTTGTAGTTGTTGAACATTCTTCTGTGAAGTGGAGGACCAAACTGGTGAGCAGTAGTCAACGTGTGAGAGTGTGAGGCATTCTACTAGCAGCTTAAGTAATGAAGAGTCCAGGTAGGTGGCACATTTCCTTATCATTCCCAATGCACAGGCCATCTTCTTCGCAGTCACTTTTGTATGATTGTCCCAAGTGAGGCACTCATCAAGAGTACTGCCTAGGAGTTTTGTTTCCTTTACTTGCTGGATGACTTGGCCATTAGAGTATAAGGTGAGTACTGGGTTCTTTTTTATTTTTGGTTTACTCCCAACTACCATTGATTTTGTTTTGCCTGCATTGAGAAACAACCTGTTCATTAAGACCCAGTCACTTATGTGTTGTAGCTCTTTCTGCAAGGTGGAGTTGATTGTAGAGATTGACGGTGCACATGTGTAAGCAGAAGTATCATCTGCATACATAACTGAGGCAGCCTCCTTTGTGGCTAGAGGAAGATCATTTGTGAATATACTGAAAAGAAGGGGTCCCAGACAGCTCCCTTGAGGTACTCCACATGTGATATCCCTGAAGGAAGAGATACGGCCATTGTAGTGAACACACTGCAAGCGTTGTGAGAGATAGCTCTCCATCCATTCAACTGCGGCCATACCGAAACCATAGCATTGTAGCTTTCTAAGAAGGTAGGCATGATCAACAAGATCAAATGCAGCCGAAAAGTCGAGGAAGATCACTCCTATCAGGTTCCCACAGTCAATGTTACGGTACCAATCATCCACCATTTCCAGGAGAGCTGTGCATGTGGAATAGTGTTTCCTGAAACCGTGTTGGTGGGTTGTCATTAAGGAGTTCTGTAAGAAGTACTGGGAGATTTGGTTGTACACAACTCGTTCTGCTATCTTGCTTATGGACGAAAGTAGACTTATCGGTCTTGCGTTCGGTCCACTCAAGCGGGCAGACGTAGACTTGGGCAAGGGAATCACCTTGGCCTTCTTCCATTCAGACGGGTAAACAGACGTAGTGAAAGACAGGTTTATTATATAACATAATGGTTGTGCTATATGATTGGCAGCCAGTTTAAGTAGTGTGTTGTCCAAGTTATCCAAGCCCATAGCTTTCCCATCAGGTAGAGACGACAGGAGTGAGTGCACTTCCTCAACATTCACCGGACTGAACTCAAACTTGCAGTCGTTGTTTTCCATGATCTCACTCTTTATCAAGGTAAGTAGGTTATCACCCATCTCTGAGTTTAGCCCATTACGTAGAGAGTCGACTTTCTGAGTGAAGAAGTGATTAAAGTACTCCGCTACGTCTTCTGCTCTGGTCAGGTAAGCACCGTCCTGTTCTACTACACAAGGTGGCTGATTTCGGTTTTTACCCAGCATACCATTAAGCGTTTTCCATAGGGCCTTGGGGTCATGCTTGGTCTCTTCTAGCTTGGTTTTGTAAAAGGCGGCTTTCTTTTTCCGATTCAGTTTTACGACAG